AGAGGGTTCTTGGATGCTGCTGCCGTGGTGGAATGCCATTTCTTTTTCAGGCTGTGCCCCAGTTGCAGCAAGTTGCTGCTGTTTTGGTGCCTTTCTTGTCAGGATGATTCTTCTGGTTTCCAGAACACCCATTGCGTTTGCTCTAACAACCTTTCTCCCGGTCCTCTGTCCTGGTGCCTCTGCCCTCTCCCAGCCTTGTGACTTGGCGTCTCTCTGTTACGGTATGGCCTGACCCGCATTTGTGCCCTGCCACACCTTGAGTTCTGCTCAGAGCACCCTGGGTACTGTCTTTCTCAAATTGGAATTAATAATTAATATAAAAAGCTTGAAAAAAAAAATCTGAATTTTGTTACATAGTGTAATAACTGTTTGTAGATACTGTTCTGAGATGTAGGAGTCTATTGGTGATATAAGAGGTTTTGTCTGTAAATAATCAGTTTAGAGTCCAAATGATTTTAATAAAGAGAATTCTTACACAGTAATTCAATAAATTTTAATATGCAACCTGCGTGTCATGCTTGTGCTGCACGGTGATGCAGTTGCCTACCATCTATCCCCCTCTTCTTCCTCCACCGGGGCCATTCTGTTCTCCTGAGCGCAGGACCTGGGAGCGTGCCGGGAGCACGGGGCTCTTCCCTCTGCTCATGCCCCCAGCATCATCTACGCGACCCCGGCTGTAACCTCGTGCCCCCTTCCCCTGATGGCTCCCACAGTGGCACTTTTCAATTTCCAGAGCTCAAACCCTGTCCCTGCCCCAGGAGGGGGACCCTCCCTTCGCAGACGGGTTTGTCTCCTGCAGCAGGAGCTGGGAGCGGGGAAAATCCGCCCTGGGGCAGGTTCCAGCTCTGGGTGGGGTTCTCCAGGGTGGGTAAGTGGGGAGGGGGGTGCTTGAGATGTGATTTATGTTGATGGCTGTTGCCCACCCCTGTGTGTGGTAGGAACCAGTGTTCCTACATTAGCAAAACAACCCTTCAACTAATTGCACATGGAGCTGGCTCCTGGCACATCTGTCCTGTCCCCCCCTTCTTTTATTAGCAGGGTTTGGATACAGGCCACTTCTCCCCCCCCTTACCTATGTCATGTCACTGCTTTAGTCCCTCTGTTCCGTACACACGTGTTCTTGCTGGTAAAAACCCCTAAAAAGGGGTTACAAGGGTTTGTCCCCGGGTTCTCCCGGTGCTTGCTCAGCACCCAGCCGGCCGCAGCCTCTCCCCCTCCCCGGGTATTTTTAGTGCGGGGAGGGCAGGTGAGTGCAGAGGGGCACAGGCAAGGGGAGAAGCTCCGGGAGGCCCTGACCTGGCTTTGGCAGCCAGGATCTACAGCAGAGCTGCTGCTGGGCGGTGTTAACCCCTTGCTGCAGGGCTGGGGCTGGCTCTCCGCAGTCCCCGCCAGGAAACCGGAGCTGTGCACAGCCAGGGCCCCAGCGAGGGGAGGCCAGGGCTGCTCCGCTCTGCTGCAGGGCTGCAGTGGGGGTGAAAAAAAAATGTTATTTTTTACTATGTGCAGCCGTTTGGTCCTTGGTGTCGCGGGTGCTGAGATGCTCGGGTCCCACCCCGTTGGGCAGCGTGGCTGCAGGGAGGATGCTGCTGTTGTGGTCACTCTCCATGGAAAGGGGACGTGGGGGCTCTGGGCACCAGCACCATGCTGCGGGTGGGTTTGGTGGCTGAGGGACAATGAGGGGCTTTGGGTCGGGCAGCGTGGGACCCGGGTGGGCTGAAGGAGCTGGGCCAGGCAGGAGACAGTGTCACGCTGCTGGGAACACTGGGAAGTGCTGGGAGCACTGGGAATGCCAGGCAGCCCCGTGGTTTCTGGGGCTGGTGGAGTGGAGCAGAAGGATTTCTCTGTTTCCATCTCGGTGGAGTTGTGAATTTCTCTCTATAAATAGTTGCTGTGGAGACTGGAGCTGCAGCGGGATGACAGACCTGCTGCCAGGGCAGCCGGGAGAGGCCAGGCGGACAGCGAA